AAAAGTTAATCCCCGGGAGGACCCGGGGTAAAGGGGGTTTAACCTTGGCCCAGGCTTCCTTTTTTAGATACCGGGGGGGGGGGGGGGGGCGTACTCATTTGTTGCTTGCCGTAGTCATTTGACCATTGACCACGCGTCCCTTTCGAGACGGAGCACCGTTCCTACACCTACTAGAGACACCACCAACATTTGGGAGCTCTTTACGTTTCTGCCACAAACTCCATAAAAATTTCTTGCACATCTTATCCCCGTCCTCTAGGGCCTCTTGTGCCCACCATCTATCCCCAATTATCGCGATCGTTTTTTCGCTGTTGTCTAATTTACCAAACTTGTCCATGTCACACCCTCTCTGTCTCATTTCCTCCTCGAGATCCTCTCTTTCCTTCCTGTACAACTCACACTCCCCAACTATGTGGGGTCTACTCTCCTCCGATTTGCCACATGGACATGTGTGTCTATCCTCCTCTTCCTCTCTCCTACGGCTGGTATACCTCTTCCTCCGTTCTGGCAAGTCCAGATCGCCTACTCGAAATTGCAATTTCAGCTTTTTCGCATAGTCCATGGGGCCGTCCAAGTACTTCTTCATCCCTATCCCTTCTTTCAACTTCCCGTATATCTCCAAGTGGTCTTCGCTTCGTACCTTCTTGCGAGAGGGTTGTCTCCTCCCTACTCTCTAGCATCTCCTTGACTTTCGTCTTGAACCCCCCGAACCCTTCCGTGTCCAACGTCTCCTCCTCGTCTCCTATCTCCTTCCAAACCTTCTCTACCACCTTGTCCCATCTGATTCCCTTCTTCCCTGGAGTCGCTTTTCCCCAAGCTGCCTCGTCAACCATGGCTGGTAGTCTATCGTCCGACATTCTACTTACCTTGTACTGCCACTTCAACTTCTGCATGTCTCTCTTTGTTTTAAGAGAGTACATTCCCAATTCTGCTCTCAATACAGTGTTGCTCGTTGTGCTTGAACATCCTAGTATTTTCTTGGCCGCTGCCATCTGCACCGTTTCCAGCTGCTTGAGGGCCTTTTCGTTACCTTCCCATATCTCTCCTGCATACTCTAGCTTAGGTACAATCACCTTTAAGAGAATACACCTCTTAATCCTAGTGTCTAGGTGTGGGTCCGTAAGGATCTCATCCATCTTGCCTATCAGAGCTTTACCCTTCCCAATCAACTTCGCTATGTGTGCGTCCCATGAGCACTCCTTCGAAATCTCTACTCCCAGGTACGTATACTTGTCTACTACCGGTAGTTCTTCCTCCCCCCATTTCCATTTGAATTCTACGGGATTTTTCTTATCTTCGTTACAGACCACAACTGCGCATTTTCCTACGTTCGCCGACAGTCTCCATTTTCGGGTGTATCCTACCGCCGCATCTATTTGTTCTTGCAACCCTTCTGGTGTTTCGGATACCCCCACGAAATCATCTGCAAACATCAGTCCGGACACACTCTTTCCCTCTACTTGGACTCCCTGTCTTACTGCTTCAACCGCCCTTATCAAATCGTTGATGTAAATCTTAAACATCGTACAGCCCTGTGCGACTCCTTGGAGTATATCCACGTACTTCGAAATTTCCCCATCCAACATCACCGCACTTCTTGTGCATTCTGTCATCTTTTTCAACATCCTCCACATTTTCCCCCGGATGCCAGACGGGGGGGGGGGGGGCAAAAAAACAAAAAGCGCCGGCAAATGTACCGGCAGCATTATTTAACACGAACATGCCGGCCCCCCCGGGGGTCC